ATAAATAGGATAAACTGCAGATAGTCTTAGAGGGAAGGCACCAAGATTAAGGAGGATTGGGAAAGGCTTCTTATAGATGGTAAGGCTCAAAAGCACCCAGATTTTCTGTTTCATCATTTTCAGCAAACCACTGGTTTAAATCAGGTCCATTTAAATAACAATGGCTTGCTTTAAGGTTCTCACTATAATCCAATGAGGCGGATGGAGCAAATATTATTTTGTCAGTTTTGCAGATGAAGAAACTGAGACACTGAGTAAAATGACTTGCCGTGGTCAGTCAACTACTAAGGGTCAGAAGGAGGACTTGAACCTTGGCCTCCTAATTCCAAGCCCAGCCCTCTTTCCACTATCGCACACTGCCTGAATGACTCAAGATGCTGGATTCACCTAACAGCATATAATGAGATGTATGCTGGCATATGGATGAAGGCCACCATAAAAGTCATGTGCGTGGTGGACTCTTAGTTATCAGCAAGCTGTGATGAAGTGCCTTCTCAAATCCTCAGATGAGACTGATAACAAGCCTGAAGGTAACTGAATAAAGGGTGCCTAGCAACCCAAAGTTCTCCCCAGATCTTTTACCACCAAAGGCAGTTTGTAGAACACAACCTGCTGAGTGATTGAAAGGCTTTCTCCTCATGCAATATACATATTTTAGTCTCATTCCTCCTTGGAAGCTTCACAAAAGGATTTCTGAGCCCACAGGAGATACAAGCTTTATGGAGAAAGGATTTTTTTTCAAAAAATTCACTTGTGTGAAGTGAGTCTAATAAGAGATCCTTGGGGTTGTGATTTAAAAAATAAAATAAAATAAAATAAAATAAAATAAAATAAAATAAAATAAAATCAGTGTGAAAGCTATGCTTACCCAAACAGTATAACTGAAACATGAAGCTAAACTACACTATTTCTAGGAAATATAGTCCATGGGTGCCTTTGTCTGAAGTATCATTTTTAAGCCATTATTTGGATGATAGAAGAAGTATAAACCCTCATTAAGTATTTTCAACAGATAATGCCTTTCCACACAACTGTAAAAGGAATCAAGAAGAATTAAAAAGCTTAACTCATCCATTTTTCCAGATCTCTTTGTCCAATGAATGGTATCACCAATGTTAGTTTCCAAAGTTTCCAAGGCTAAAAAGACAGACTGCAGTTGTGAATCTCCCAACCATATTCAATTCTCTTGGGATTCCTGAAGACCAGGTCTAAAACTTAACATTTTGGGTTAGTTTGGGATTTATATTTAAAATTAGAAACCCAAGATCCCTATCCAACTTTGGCTTAGCCTTTTCTAAATAATAATGATGATGATGATAACTAATATTTGTATGGCACTTACGAAGCACTTTCCACTATGCTGAGCACTTTACAATTATTATAGTCTGCTGGGAAGTCTGCCTGCCTCAAGTCTCTCCCCACTTCAATCCATCTTCTGTTCAGCTGCCAAAGTGATTTTCCTACAGTGCAGCTCCAACCATATTACCTCCCTACCCAATAAACAGTGACTCACTATTTTCTCCAAACACAAAATCTTCTGTTCAGCATTCAAAGCCCTTCGCAACACACACACACAAACACACACACGCACATACACCCCCCACACCTTTCCAGTCTTCTTACACCTTACTCCCCATCACGTAATCTTTGGTCTAATGATACTGGTCTCCTTTATGTTCCACAAAGACACTTCAGCTCCGAGTGTTTTTGCTTGGCTGCCCTCCATGCCCTCCATGGAATGCTTTCCCTCCTAATTTCTGCTTCTTGACTTCCTTCAAATCCCAACTCAAACCCCATCTTCTACAAGAAGCTTTTCCCAATACCTATTAATTCCAGTGCCTTCCTTCTGTTAATTATTTCCTATTTATCCTGTATATAACTTGTTTGTACATATCTGTTTGCTTATTATCTCTCCCTTTACCTTGTTTTATACAGGCAGATAATTTTGGTCTCTTAGCTATGGGGAGAGTAGGAAAAGGAGATGGCTAAGGGGAGGAGAATATGTATACTTCATCCTTCAAATAAAAACCTCTACAGAATTACCAATGATAATAATGATGATGATGATGATGAATTAATATTTATATCATGTTTACCATGTGCCAGGTACTTTGTTAAACACTTTATAATTATTATCTCATTTGCTCCTCATAGCAACCCTGGGAGGTAGGTACTATCCCTAACTTCCAGATGAAGAAACAGAGGCAAACTGAGGTGAAGTGACTTGTCCAGGGTCACCCCACTAGTAAATGTCTAAGGCTAGATTTGAACTCATCTTCCTGACTCCAGGCTGCTGTTCCATTCACCTCACTACCTAGCTCTCTGATCTCTTAATTGCCAGATCTAATGGACTTTTCTTAGTTCTCATCCTTCTTGACCTTTCCACATCATTTAACTCTGTTAATCACCATTTCCTCTCCAATTATCTTATGTAGGTTTTTTTGTGATAAAGCTGACTACTGATTGTCCTCCTACCATCTGAATGCTCCTCCCCATTCTTCTTTGCTGCTTCTTCATCCACATCATGCCCATTAACCATGGTATCCCCCAAGCCTGTAGTCTGGGCCCTCTCCTCTTTTCCCTCTATATTTGGTGGTTCACTAGGTGATTTCATCAGCTCTCTCAGGTTCCCAGATCTATATATTCAGCTCTAGTCACTCTCCTGAGCTCCGTTCCTTCAACCACCTTTTGGACATTTCAAATGGAATGTCTCACAGAAATCTCAAACTCGGCATTTTCAAAACAGAACTCATTATCTTTCCTTATAAAATGTTCACTGTTTCCCAATGTTCCTATTCCTTAGAAAAAATCACTGTCTTTCCATTCACAATCTGTCTCATTTCTTTACTTTCATCCTACATATCCAGTCCAGTGGACAAATTTTGTCATTTCTCCCTTTATAACAGTGTTTGGTAGGTACTTAATAATAGTAAGGGATTAATAAATATTTGGCCATTTATTTATTGATCTCTAATATACATACCCTTCTCTCCACTCACACAGTCACCACCCAAGTTCAGACCCTCAACACCTCTTACCTGTACTATTGCAATAGCCTTCTAATTAGTGTCTCTGCCTCAAGTCTTTCCCCATTCCAATTTCCATTCCAATCCATCCTCCACAAAGCTACCAGACTGATTTTCCGTTAGTATAAGCCTGACCACATCACCACCACCACCCATCCTCCCATTAACTCAAGGACCCTAATTACCTCAAGGATCAGAGATAAAGTTTGGTTTGGCAAATAAACCTGAAGCTGCAAGGCATCTCAAGGGAGAGACAGGAGACAGAATGTGCCCAGTGCCCATTGGACTCTGGTGTAGACAGCCCCAGCAATTGCAGTACCCCAGCTCTAGAAAATAGACCTTTCTAGTCTGGCTCCCATCTAGGGGAGCAATCCTGTACAGAAAGGGCCTGCCATCTCTGCTACCACCATTATGCTTGTTGAGTGACTGACTGATCAACCAATACCAACTGCCATCGACAGGAGAGTAAACTCAAGAGCATTGGGAAAAGCCATGTCCCACCCACTCCTGACCCTGCTTCCAACCCAACCCCACCAACACCAACCAGTAACCAAACATCATGGCACAAGAGGCCTGGGGGGAATAGCAACACCCCCTAGACCCTAGGCTTACCTTCCAGCCAGGCCCTTGTAGCCTTCATCCAGAGAATCAACTCTTGCCCAGATGTGACCTGGCAATTTCCCCTGCAGAAGACAGAGCCTTTGTCTCCTCAATAGCCACATCTACTAACAACCTGGAAAAGAATGTTTTCATGATCAAAGTCTTTGGCATTTTCAAATGGTTCAGCATCAAAAACACCCACCTTTCCACCTACCCTAAAGTCTAGTAAAACTATCCTACTTTCCATTGCTTGAAGAAAGGTAGCACAGTGGATAGATCCCTGGTCCTGGAAGTCAGGAAGACACAAATTCAAATCTGACCTCAGACACTTCCCAGCTGTGGGACCCTGGGCAAGTCACTTATTTTCTGATTGCCTCAGTTTCCTTATCTGTAAAATTAGAATGACAATAGCACCTACTTCACAGGGTTGTAGTGAGGATCAAATGAGATAATTGTCTAACAGCGCAGTTCCCATAATATAGAAGACACTTAATAAATGCTAACTCTCTTCCCTTCCTCCTTTGCAGAAGACATTCCATTTTCCATCTCTGCACCTTTGTAATGTCTGTCTCCCATTTCTAGAATGATCTCCCTTCTCACCTCTGCTGGTTGACATAGATTTTTTATCTTAAAAAATTAGAGGAAAACAACTCTTTACAAGATTGTAGTAACCTATTCTCATAGCACTCATAGGGATGAGAGTACTTTTTTGGAAAAAAAGAGAGGAAAAGAAGCAAAATCATCCAATACCATGAACACATTTGCATCTGACAGTACTCCTCTATCCTACTACAACTAATCTTCCTGGCTCTACCAATATTATATAAAATGCCCATCTACAGATATCTAGATTAATATATAAAGCTATTGATCACCTCAAAACTTTTCTTCACTGACTGTAGGTTTCTAAGTATACCATCATTATATCTACAAATAGAATTATATCTCTTCTTTGCTGATATCTACACCTTTGATTTTGTTCTATTTAAAGACTATTATTTCTAGAACTATGTCAAATAATAGTGAGAAGAAGGGACATCCTTACTTTAGCCCCTGGTCTACTGGAAAGTTTATAATGTTTCTCCATTGTAAATAATGCAAACTATTAGTTTTCAATAAATATTTTTGCTAATATTAAAGAAGGGTCCTTACGAATTTGTGCTTTGGGGGTTTGTAACAGATATGAATGCAATTTTTTTCCAAAGGCTTTTTGTGTATCTATTGATATAATTGTGTGGTTTTTGGTGGGTTTTTTTGTTTCTATAATTAGGAAAGGAATTTCAAGAGCCTCCTTCTGTAATTCTTTCCAAAATCCTTTAAATTGGACTCATTGGATGACATTGTGTCTAATGTAAGCTTTCTTCTTCTCTACAGTCATGGGACCCGCTGTGCAGGGGAAGTGTCAGCAGCAGCCAACAACAACATCTGTGGGGTTGGAGTGGCTTATAATTCCAAGGTTGCAGGTATGCTGCTCCCATGCTAAAGAACTGCTCGTTCTCTCATAGAAAATCTATAGAGTGACATATGTTACTCTTCACATTCTGCCCAGGAGTAATGTCCTGGAAATAATTTGCATTGATTATCAACCTATTTCCCACTCCTTACTTTTTCACTAGATTCTAGTATAAATCCATTTTTTATGAAATGCACTTTGGGTGAAGGAAATCCAGGATACGTATAGCATGAGTAACAAGGAACAGAAAGAAAATTTAAGAAATGATAATGGTAATGGTAAATGGTAATATTTTAAAAATTGTTATAAACTCAGATTGTTGAATATATATAGACTTTTACAGATCACATACAAAAATCCAAGTTACCTTCCAAACTAGGCCACACATCTGAACTTAGCCCTCAGGAGAATGGTAAAACTCACTTGATGGTAGTTTGCTATATCAGAGTAGAGACCACGAGCTCATTAGAATCCATTTTTAAGTCCCAGTAGTCAATCTGCATTACCTCTTTCCAGGGACTTGGGAACTTGTGGCTGAAGGTGGGATGAGAAAAGCAATGCTTCTGATTAAGAAAATGAGAAACACTAATCAAGCCTTTTCTTCAAAAGAAAGAAAGGAAAGAAAAGGAAGGAAAAGAGAAAGAAAGAAAGAAAGAAAGAAAGAAAGAAAGAAAGAAAGAAAGAAAGAAAGAAAGAAAGAAAGAAAGAAAGAGAGAGAGAAAGAAAGAGAGAAAGAGAAAGAAAGAAAGAAAGAAAGAAAGAAAGAAGAAAGAAAGAAAGAGAAAGAAAGAGATAAAGAAAGAGAGAAAGAGAGAAAGAAAGAGAGAGAGAGAGAGAGAAACAAAGAGAGAAAGAGAGAAAGAAAGAGAGAAAGAGATAAAGAAAGAAAGAGATGAAGGAAGGAAAGAAGGAAGGAAGGGAGGAAAGAAGGAAGGAAGGAAGGAAGGAAGGAAGGAAGGAAGGAAGGAAGGAAGGAAGGAAGGAAGGAAGGAAGGAAGGAAGGAAGGAAGGAAGGAAGGAAGGAAGGAAAAAGTCTCTATGGGCCCATGAGAAAAGTTTGGCTCTTAGTTCAAAGTTTTGCTTGAAGTTCATTCCTAATTTCTTCAGGCTGAGTCACCAACCCCAGTGCTCCACTTCCATGATTGTTTTCTGTAATAACAGTCTTGGTATTTCCTCCCTAGAGACTTAGTGAAACCATAGCTATGTTCGGTACTTACACTTACATTCCCGGATTTCTAAATAAAGCAGTAACCTCCCATATAAATCCTGCCACTAACTATATCACACACCTGCTGTCACTAGATGTTAAGAGACCTGACAGAACTTGGTGATGAATTTCAGAGGGATATGTCAGTAGGTTTCTAAAAAGTAAACAGCTGGAAGTTTTGCCCTTGGGGTCTTAGCTCTAGTGGTGTTTTGTGTATTCATAGTAATGGTAAGAAAATGTTGACAACAATAACGAGATCAGGGATGGGAAAGAATATCCCCAGATTAATATTTTATACTCAAGGTTTATAAGTCCAGGTTTGTACCTGGGATAGTGGTTGAGAATAAGCTGGGTCTAGACAACCACAGGAGAAGTGAATAGGTCAGAAAGATGGGAGTCTCATACAAACTCACTTTCTACCATGATGGCCACCCTCCACACAGTTTTTGAAGCTTCTGAGCAGTCAAGGGAGCCAGGCATGTGAGTGGACAGATGACTTCCTCAGGGTTCTGAGGCCCACCTGTCAGAAAAGGAAAAAGAGTTCTAGGCAACCCTTTGATTTCTGTCTGAATTATTTTTCTTCTCTCACTATTGAAAATCCCTTCCTCTCATCCACTCACACTAGCCACTTTTGTCTCATATTCAGCACCATGATTCATGGTTTGTACCTGGACCAGTAAAGTAAACCCATAGCCTAGAGGCACCCAATTTTCTTCCCAACTTGCAGGTGCAAGTCTCCTAGTTTCTATGCTCAAAAAAATTAAGTACCTGATCCAAAACCCTTCACTTGTCAAATACTTTCAAGTCTCATTTTGCTCCCACCTACTAAGGCAAGTAATATTATCCCTTTTTGACAAGTAAAGAAACTGAGGCATGTAGTGGTTGAGTGATTTGCCCACCTCATGAGGTGGTAGCTGAGATAGAGCTAGAACCCATATGTAAGAGGAAATGAGGTATAGTGAGAAGAGCCCTAGATTTGAGGTCAGAGGAGCTGGTTTTAAATCTCAATCCTTCTGCCTGTATAACTTTAGAGAACTTTTTAAACCTCTTTGTGCCTTAGTTACCCCATCTGTAAAATAAGGAAGTTGTACTAGATGTTCTTTGAGGTCTGTCTACCTCTAAGTGCCATAGGCAGGGTCAAAAGCCTGGCTTGTCTCTCTGTGTGACGGGTTAAGTCACTCAACCTCGTTAGCTTCAGTTACTTCATCAGCAAAATGAGAGGACTGCACTAGAGCCCTTGTCAGCACACCCTACTATCTTGCTGGCCCCTCAGTTTGATATGAAGCTGCCATTCATGTTTTTTCTACTCTGTCTGTTGCATGGGAAAGCCCTCATCCTGGGCCTCTAACCTTAAATCCTTCTTCTCATAGCCAAGCAGCCCTTGTAGAATCTTTCCTCTTAAAAAAAAAAAATTGAATCAAATGAGATCATAACCTCCACTTAAACAGGCTCAGGCACTCCTAATTTAAGATGGATGAACCTCAGAAGCTTTAAATTACAGTTCCTCGTTCTGGTCAGCAATTTTAAAAAGCTAGCTCTGGCTTGTAGTAGCTCTTTAGAGAGGAATTTATGTTTTCATGAGCCACCAAACAACTTCTTCAAAAATCCCTTTTTTCTAACAGGAAGCCATTCTGCAGGTAGATTAGCAGTCTATAGCCCCACCCAGTGGCGAGGAGAGACCCCAAGAAGTCCATCAAAGCTTTAGAGGAAGCTAGAGACCTCCTTAGCCCATTTCTATTCACAACTAAAGAGGGACAATTCCCACTCCTTTAATCCACAGCCTCATCAAGTTCAAAGTTGGAAAAACTTAGAGAAGATGCAGAATATGAAAGGAAAATTATGAATTGATTATAAAATAGAGAGTCTGACCCATCCCTAAAAAAAGGATAAAAGGCAAAAAAGTTCAGTGGAAAGAACACTGGGCCTGGGGTCAGAGAACTTTGATTCCAATCCCAGTCCAGCCACTTACCCTCTGTGGAACCTTCAGCAAGTCACTTAACCCTCAAAGCCTCAGTTTTCTAATCTGTAAAATGAAGGAGTAGACTCCATGATCTCTAATGTCCCTTTAAGCTCTAACTATATGAACCTATGATTATAAAATGGTACTGAAGGAATCGAATGTTTAGCCTTGAATAGGAAAAACTGAAAAGTTAATTAATACTGATTCTAAAGTATGTAACAAAAAAAAAAAGAAATTTATGGCAAAGCGTGACCATGTGTTTCCATTTCTATTTCCACCATAGAGAGAACAAATAGAAAGGGGTCTCTAAGGAAGGATTCATGTCAGAAATGTCTTTCTGGATGAAAAAGATTATGGAAAACACTAGAGCAAAATTATCAAAGGTCACTGAATTCTCTCCTGAAAAGAACATCAGAATGAAAATAGATAGAAATTAGCTATGGTTTTGTCTCCAGTTAGGACTCTCTGCTCCTCTGAATCTAGTAAGCCCAGTACCATATAGTTAATAGGTGATTCTAGCTGACTTGTTTTTGAGAGACAACCATGTCAATAAAGTGCTGAGCCAAGAGTAAAGAACACCTGGGTTGGAATCTCATCTCAGGTGCCAAAGAGCCATGTGACCCTGGGCAGGTAGATGTCCTATCATCTCGAGCTTTAGTTTCCTGATCTGTGAAATGAGAATAAAATCTGAAGCACAAGGATATCCCAAGAATCAAATGAGATCATGTAAGATAATGCTTTGTGCGTCTGTAAACATCAGTTATTATTATTATTATTATTATTATTATTATTATTATTATTATTATTGTGACAGAATTAGCTTCAATACTCTGAGCATCTGTCATCTCATCCATCTGTGACTGGTACCCTACCAGTGTAAGTCAAATTCTCTATTCCTTAGAAGATGGTTTTGTGAACCTTCCGGTCACAAGCCTATTTGAACTTAGCCTGGCTAGGTCAGAATGACCCCTCCTTGCCTTTGAGAACCTAGAATAACCAACAACCACCTGCTGATAAGGCATGAGAGTAGGATTTCAGTGGAGGAAACAATTTGCTCTTGTCAAATCCAGTTAGAAAAAATCGCCTAGAAAATATAAATGTCATAATTAGAACTTGATCACATTTAATTTGTCATAACAGAGATTTGGACTGGGAATTAGAACAGCTGGAATATCTCTAGCCCTACCTGTTCTAATTAGCTGTGGAACTATGGGCAAGTACCTTTCCCTTCTTTGGGTCTGTTTCTCCATCTGTAAAATGGAGCAGGTAGAGTCAATGATTTCTAAGACTCCTCTAGTGCAAATCATCTATCACTCTATAATAAGTCATTAGGCAGATTTATCTGAATTTTTTTATTTTATTTTTAATCTATGGAATAAAACAAGCATTTTCATGACAGCACAATAAAAAAGATGATTGTACATGAAATTTCAAATCTGCTATGCACAATGTACTATTCTTTCAAATATAAAATAAAATTATCATGTAATTTTTAATTCTTTTCTTCCCTCCCCATACCCTAGAGATGGTTACCATTAGACACAAATAGGTACATATGTGTTAAATTATATATATATATATATATACTTCTATTTATCAATTCTTTCTCTGGATGCAGATAACATCTGTCTTCATATGTGCTTTATAGTTAATTTGGATATGTATAATAGACAAAATAATTTATTCACTCAAAATCAGTCTTAAAACAATATTGCTGTTACTGTAAATAACATTCTCTTGGTTCTACTCATTTCACTCTTCATTATTTCACACAAGTCTTTCCATGTTTTTCTAAAATCATTGAGCTCATCATTTCTTATATCAAAGCAGAATTGCATCACAA